CGCGGCGGGACACCGAGAGCACCTCCAAACGCAGCACGCGCAGGCTCAGCACCCCCAGACACAGCACCCTCAGGCTCCACACGTCCAGGCTCAGCACCCCTAGGCTCAGCACGCCCAGACTCAGCACCCCCAGACTCAGCACCCCCAGTCTCAGTACCCCTAGCAGCACCTGAGTCGACAGCTACCTCGACCGGCTCGGCAGGGTCTACCTGGGACACACCTGAGGGGGCAGGACCCTGGGGGGGGAGGGGTTCTACCTGGGGAGTACCTGGTGCGAGGAAGAGCGGCGGGGGGGGGGGGAGAGGAAGTGCGGTAGGGAAAAAGACGGTAGTACGACACCGACTCGTCAAACGTGACGTCCTGAGAGGACAGTACACGACGCGAGGTGGGGTGGTAGAACTGCCACCCGGGTGCGTCAGGAGGGAAGCCAAGGAAGACACAGGGAACAGCACGGGAGGACAGCTTGTCCGCTGTAGTATCACGGACAAAAGCTCGAGATCCCCAGACACGGAACGCGGACGCATCGCCAACCTTCCCCGTCCACCGCAGAGTAGGTGTGGTCTCCGGCAAGGAGACACGAGGCTGAAGGTTGATCTGATGCGCAGCGTACTGAACTGCGAACGGCCACAGAAAATGGGGAGCAGCCGCATGGATCATGGACGTACGAGCGACGTCCATGACCATGCCAATGCGGCGCTCAGCAATCCCATTTTGCTGCAGGGAGGCCGGAAGCGTGAACGTCTGGCGGATGCCCTCAGAACGACAGAAGGCTCTCAGGAGGTCGGAGGAAAACTCCCCGCCTCTGTCTGAGTGCAGACGCAGAACAGGAAGGTCTGAGCCGAAACTCTCACTAAGCTGGCGACGAGCACCGCGGATCCAGTCGATCAACACCTCAGGGACCTCACCCTTGCTGCGCAAGGGGAAGACTGTGGTGTTACGCGAGTAGTCGTCAACGACCAGCAGGAAGTAACGCTCGTGACCTTGTCCACGGACGCGGGCTGGGCCCCACACGTCCATGTGAAGAGTCTGCAGAGGAGCCTCAGTCGGAGGAAACGAGGAGGAGTGAGGAGCGGCGCGCTGCCGGCCCTCAACACAAGGAACACAGGTGAGTCCAGAGACAAGAGCATGGGAGGCCATACCTCGAAGACGAGGTAGGGAGGGGTGACCAAGGCGGTGGTGCCAAAGGAGAGTCTCGTGCGCTAGAGGATGACATGAGCAGGGGGCAGACGCAGGACTAGACCTGGACGCGGCAGCAAACACCTGACTGGACGCAGCTACCTGACCAGACGCAGGGACCGGAGGAGGCGCAGTAGTCAGTGTGTACAGACTCGACCCTGGCCGACGGGTGAATGTGGCCAGGTGGCGGCTCGTCCGAGAGCAAGTGCAGTGGGTCACACGCTGACCTCCAGGGGTGAACTGGTCAACCCACGCGTCCTGGAGGTCAGCTCCATTCACCAAGTTCGTAGAGAACGAGGGGAGGTGGAGTCCCGACAGCAAGCCCGACGGGGCCGCAGGACACGGTAGAACCGTGGAGGAGTGTGCAAGGACTAGGCCCCCTGAGGGGTCAGCAAGGGAGACCGCAGGTGGTGGGCCCATAACCCACAGGTCCGAGGATCGAAACCTTGCTCTGATACCATGTGAGAATGGAATGGTTGAACTAGAAACGAGATGGGTACAAGTAGAGAACACAAAAGTGTTGTACCCTCTAAGAACTACCCCACTACAGCCTAAACAGACTATAGCAGATATAAGTTTGACAGTAGTATCGATGTAGATGCTGTCGTGTTTTCTCTAATCCGAAATGCCCTGAAGTGACTCTGTCGTGTGCTTCTTGTAATAGTAATTCCCGTAGAAGTGTGTAGCCCGGTACCAAGATGAGATCGGTGCCAGATTTTACGTAATAGACTCCCTTTGCTGCTGCAAACTGCTGCGAATTTCCGCCTGTGAAAAATGGGTCAGTCTAATAGCCGTGGGTAATTAGACCTGTTAACAGTGGGCTAGTCTGTGCGAGTAGTATGGCGTGGACTTGGGCTGTGGTCCGGGTTAATGCGTTTGCGATGTTTGATGCCCCCTTTTTGTAGGAGACCGTGTAATGAAAATTCGACAGCGGATTTGTCATGGGTTGAGGTGGGGTTCCGCACGGAGGTACTATAGAGATTTTTGGTCTGTCCGTACTGTCACGTCGGCGCTGGTCAAGTAACAGCGCCACACTTTGAACGCATGCACGATCGCAAGCATTTCGCGATCGTGTATCGGATAATTCTTCTCGGGCGGATGCAACTTTCGTGATTCGTATGCGATGGGCTGTAAACCGTTACCAAAGTCCTGTAGTAGTACGGCTCTGATGGCGATGTTGCTTGCGTCGGTAACCACTTCAAATGGGCGGTGAAAGTCGGCGATGCGCAGTACGGGCGGTGAACAGAGAACTTTTTTTCAGGGTAGAGAAGGCAGCATGCTCTTTCTCCCCTCATGTAAAAGTGACACCCTTCCGCAGTAAATCCGTCAGCGGGGCAGTTAAGCATGCCATGTCGGGGACGAATCGATGCACGTAATTTACGAATCCCAAAAAACTCTGCAGCTCCGTGATGTTCGTCTGGGGGTGCCACGCTTTTACCGTGTCCAGTTTCTCCAGGTCGATTTCTAATCCAGCCTCCGAAATAACGTGCCCCAAAAACTCCAGCCTATCCTGGAAGAATTTGCACTTGGAACCCTTGGTCAGTAGTCTGTGTTTGTCTTAAAACTTTAAATACTGCTTCTAGATCGGCTAAGTGCTGCTGCTTGTCGCGACTGTAGACGAGGATGTCGTCGAGGTAGATGATCACACATTTATCTAAAAGTGGCCTAAACGCCTCGTTCATTGTCATCTGGAATGTCGCCGGTGCGTTGGTCAGCCCAAAAGGCATCACTGTGTACTCGAATGACCCGTATCTAGTCCTAAACGGTGTCTTTGCGCAGTCCGATGGTTCGACCCGAATCTGATTGTAACCTCCCCGTAAGTCAATTTTCGAAAAGGCCTGTGCTGTTCGCAGTTGATCTATCAGCTCGTCGGCGCGGGGGATGGGGTATCGCGATTTGTCTGTAACCCTGTTCAGTGCTCGGTAGTCGATACACATGCGAAACCCTCCGTCCTTTTTCGGTGTGAACAGGATCGGTGCGGCGAATGGCGATGAGCTCGGTCGGATGATTTTTTTCGCTAACAGGTAATCTAACTGCTTCCTTAGTTCGTCGAGCTCGGGCTGTGTCAGTCTGAACTGTCACTGTATGGTTGGCTGTGCCCCGGGTTCTAATTCTATTCGGCGATCGTGTGCCCGCTGAGGTGGCAGACCCTCCGGTAAATCATCGGGGAAGATCCCCGGGAACCGTTTCAACAGTTCATGTAGCTTTGATGGTACTGCCGCCAGTATATTCTGAAAATCGCTCGGTTGATCTGCTTCTTCCACTATTGCGACATCCACCGCGTACACGTCAGCTCCGGCGGCGACAGCCCATTTCATCGTGATGGCGTTGACGTGGACCGTCGAAGACTCAGGCGACTGCCAGCGAGGTAGTTCCACCCAGTTACCGCTACTTTGCACAATGCAGCTACCCGTCGTCCAGTCGATTCGCGGGTTGTATCGTCGCGGCCAATCACGTCCCAGTAAAATGTCGTGCCCATCCAATGTCGTCGCGAGCATTTCCTGTGTAAACCCGAAGTTCCCCCCACAGCGGACTTTTACTCTCTCCACTTTATCCCGTATGGCCAGTAGCGTTCCGTCAACTAAGCGTGCATCTATCTCCGGTAAGTACCGACTAAGTGTCAGTTGCAGCTTCCTTGCAGTCACGGTATTAAATAAGCTGTGACTTGCGCCTCCGTCTATAAAAATCATCACTGCTGCTCCCTGTATTTTCCCGTGAATCAGTACTGGGCAATCCGTTGCTGTACCCTCCTTATTCATCTGAGCCTGATCGATAGCGTGAATCGGTACTGTGACTCGGTGAGGGTCGGTGAAGTTGGGCGAGCAGGCAGTCTCGTCAGTAGTTGGCCCAACTTCTACTGACTGCTGGCGTTTCCCGGCCTCTGAGACTCTCGCCCCTGCTCTGTTCCGCGGCTCCTTGGTGTCAAAATGTATTTGCTGTTTAGCCTGCAATGGGGTACTCTGTAGTGAGTACAACCCAATTTAGGGTTTGCTATTTGTATCCCAACTTTCTATAGTGAAACCCCTCATTCTCCTTTCCAATTCTCTCGACACTCACTAGCCATGGCTCCTAAGTCACGCTAGGATTCTAACATGGTATTAAGAGCAATATTTCCTAGGACCTCACATCAATGGGCCCACCACCTAATGCCCTGCTAGCCTAGGCCCCGGCCCGTCGCCCCTAGCCCCTAGGCTCGGCCCCTTGGCCCCGTCGCCCCTAGCGGCCCCTCGGCCCCGCTGGCCCCATCGATTCCGCGCCCAACGCCCGGCCCCGTACCTAGCCCACGCCCGGCCCGTACTTAGCCCGCGATCGGCCCGTACCTAGCCCACGATCGGCCCGTACCTAGCCTCGCGCCCGGCCTCCGTTCCGCGCCCAACGCCCGGCCCCGTACCTAGCCCGCGCCCGGCCCGTACCTCGCCCGCGCCTGGCCCCGTCCCTAGCCCGCGCCCGGCCCGTACCAAGCCCGCGCCTGGCCCCGTCCTTCGCCCAGCGCCCGGCCCGTACCTAGCCAGCGCCCGGCCCGTACTTAGCCCGCGACCGGCGCGTACCTAGCCCGTCGCCCGGCCTTGTCCCTAGCCCAGCGCCCGGCCCAGTACCTAGCCCGCGCCCGGCCCCGTACCTAGCCCGCGCCCAGCCCAGTACCTAGCCCGCGCCCGGCCCCGTACCTAGCCCCGCGCCCGGCCCCATTCCGCGCCCAACACCCGGCCCCGTACCTGCCCAGCGCCCGGCCCCATACCTGCCCAGCACCCGGCCCCGTCCCTAGCCCAGCCCCAGGCCCCGTACCTAGCCGCGCCCCTCGGCCCCACTGGCCTCGTCGCCCCTAGCTATGGCAAGAGGGGTGCTGACTTCCTGCCCGCGTGCCCTGCAGTCGCACGCGCAGCTCCGCCCCCGCCCCCCTCCCCCCCCTCCCCCTCCTCCATGGGGACGGGGGGGAGAGGGTGTGAGGGGGGGGCGGAAGTGCCTCAGCAGCAGCAGCTGCCGCCGCGCCTCCTCCTCTATCTCTCCCTACCGCACCCTGTGTTGGGAGGGGGGGGGGAGCTTGAAGGTTCAGGGGGAGGCAGGAGGGGATCTGCAGCACCAGCCCCCCCCGCCCCCCCCCCCCCCCCCTTTCTCCTCCACCCCTGCTGCGGGTGCAGCAGTGGGGGGGAGGGGATCTGCAGCAGCAGTGGGGGGAGGGGATTTGCAGCATCAGACCCCCCCCCCCCCCCTCCCCCCCCCCCCGCCCTTTTCTCCTCTCTCTCTCGTTGCCGCACCCTGTGTTGGGAGGGGGGGGAGCTTGGAGGTTCAGAGGGAGGCAGGAGGGGATCTGCAGCACCAGCCCCCCCCAGCCCCCCCCCCCCCCCCCCCCCCCCCACTTCTCCTCCATCCCCCTGCTGCGGGTGCAGCAGTGGGGGGAGGGGATCTGCAGTAGCAGTGGGGGGGAGGGGATCTGCAGCAGCAGTGGGGGGGAGGGGATCTGCAGCAGCAGTGGGGGGGAGGGGAGTTGCAGCATCAGCCCCCCCCCCCCCCCCAAACCCCCCCCCCCCCCCCCCCACTTCTCCTCCATCCCCCTGCTGCGGGTGCAGCGGTGGGGGGGAGGGGATCTGCAGCCCTGTGCTGCCCTGCAGCCCTGCGCGCCCTGCTGTCCTGCTGACCTGCGCGCCCTGCGCGCACTGCAGCCCTGCGCGCCCCGCGCGCCCTGCTGCCCTGCAGCCCTGTGCGCCCTGCTGCCCTGTTTGCCCCGCGCGCCCTGCTGCCCTGCAGCACTGTGCGCCCTGCTGCCCTGCTGCCCTGTGCGCCCCGCACGCCCTGCAGCCCTGTGCGCCCCGCGCGCCCTGCAGCCCTGCGTGCCCCGCGCACCCTGCTGCCCTGCTGCTGCCGCTACAGCCCTTGCTGTTGCCGCTACAGCCCTTGCTGCTGCCCTGCGCGCCCCGCGCGCCCTGCAGCCCTGCTGCGCCCCGCGCGCCCTGCTGCCCTGTGCGCCCCGCGCGCCCTGCAGCCCTGCGCGCCCTGCGCACCCTGCTGTCCTGCTGCCCTGCGCGCCCTGCGCGCACTGCAGCCCTACGCGCCCTGCGCGCCCCGCGCGCCCTGCTGCCCTGCAGCCCTGTGCGCCCTGCTGCCCTGTTTGCCCCGCGCGCCCTGCTGCCCTGCAGCACTGTGCGCCCTGCTGCCCTGCTGCCCTGTGCGCCCCGCGCGCCCTGCAGCCCTGTGCGCCCCGCGCGCCCTGCAGCCCTGCGCGCCCCGCGCGCCCTGCTGCCCTGCAGCCTTGTGCGCCCTGCTGCCCTGCAGCCCTGTGCGCCCTGCTGCCCTGCTGCTGCCGCTACAGCCCTTGCTGTTGCCGCTACAGCCCTTGCTGCTGCCCTGCGCGCCCAGCGCGCCCTGCAGCCCTGCTGCGCCCTGTGCGCCCTGCAGCCCTGCGCGCCCTGCTGTCCTGCTGCCCTGCGCGCCCTGCGCGCACTGCAGCCCTGCGCGCCCCGCGCGCCCTGCTGCCCTGCAGCCCTGTGCGCCCTGCTGCCCTGCTGCCCTGTTTGCCCCGCGCGCCCTGCTGCCCTGCAGCCCTGTGCGCCCTGCTGCCCTGCTGCCCTGTGCGCCCCACGCGCCCTGCTGCCCTGCAGCCCTGTGCGCCCTGCTGCCCTGCTGCCCTCTGCACGCGCCATGCACAACCCCCCCCCCCCCCCCCTCCCTTCTCCTACCTCCCCCTGCTGCTGGTGCAGCAGTGGGGGGGAGGGGATCTACAGCACCAGCCCCCCCCCCCGCCCCCCCCCCCTTCTCCTCCATCCCCTGCTGCATGTGCAGCAGTGGAGGGTATGGGGGTGGCGGGTGTGGGTGCAACTGCGGGGTGGAGGGTATGGGGGTGGCGGGTGTGTAAACCGTCCCCTGCTCCTCCTCGTCCTCTGTCTCCTCCTTCCTCTGTTCCACTGCGTGTTCCTCTGCCTGCTCCTCCCGAGTCCTCTCTTCTTGCGGTCCCTGACCCTGAGTCTGACCGCGCTCGTGCTACCAGTCCCACTGTCTCTTGTCTCCTCGCCACTGCTGTATCTGACCCTTCCTTTGAGTCTGTTGCTGCGTCTGCCCTCGTTGCTGAGCTGCTTGACTTTGCTGCTGCCTGCCGTCTAGACTACGCCACTGCTCTTGTTGCTGAGTTTGCGTCTGCCAGTCCTCGGTCCGTCGTGGGTGTATGTGCGCTTGGCACGGACGTCCTTGAGGACAGGCAGGAGGACTTTGAGTGTCTTGCAGCTGCTGTACCTTGTTTCGCTTCCATGCTGCTTGCCCCTGAGGGAGACCCGGATGCTCCAGACATCCCGACCTCGCGCTCTTACGCAGAGGCGATTACGGGTCCTTACTCCTCTCAGTGGCAGGCAGCCATGGAGGCCGAGATGGCATCCTGGAAGTCTACAGGCACCTACGTCGACGAGGTTCCCCCACCTGTGGCGAACATAGTCGAGGCATGTCGATTTTCAGGGTGAAGCGGCCGCCGTGTTCTCCGCCTGCCTTCAAGGCGCGTTACGTTGCTCGAGGATTCAGTCAGCGACAGGGGGTTGACTACTTCCAGACCTTCTCCCCCACCCCAAAGATGACTACTGTTCGGGTGTTGCTGCACGTCGCTGCTCAGCGTGACTACGAGTTGAACGCTCTGGACTTCAGCACAGCTTTCTTGCAGGGCAGCCTGCACGAGGAGATCTGGCTGCGCCGCCCACCTGGCTTCACTGGGTCGTTTCCTGCAGGTACCCAGTGGAGCCTCCAGCGGCCAGTCGACGGTCTCCGCCAGGCGCCTCGCGAGTGGCTTGATACACTGAGGACTACACTTGCGGCTATTATGTTTGCTCCTTCTACTACTGACCCGTCGCTGTTTCTACGCACCGACACCTCGCTGCTGCCGTTCTACGTCCTCGTGTACGTCAACGACCTCGTCTTTGCCACTGCTGATACCGAGGCACTGACCCTTGTGAAGTCGGAGCTACAGAAGAGACACACCTGCACTGACCTGGGTGAACTGCGCAGCTATCTTGGCTTGCAGATCACCCGGGACAGAGCACGGCGCACCATCACCCTGACTCAGTCACACATAGTGCACCAGGTCCTTCAGCGCTTCGACTTCCAGTTCTCCTCGCCATAGCCCACTCCTCTGTCTACCGGCCACTTGCTCTCAGCTCCACCTTCGGACGAGTCCGTTGAGCCGATTGGTCCGTACCCAGAGTTTGTGGGTTGCCTCATGTACCTGATGACGTGCACACGAAGGGTGGTCATCTTCGGGGTGGGGGAGAAGGTATGGAAGAAGTCGACCCCCTCACGCTGACAGAAACCTCATGCAATGTAATGGCCTTGAAGGCAGGCGGAGAACCCGGCGGCAGCTTCACCCAGGTGGGGGAACGTTGTCGACGTAGATGCCTATGGACTTCCAGGAAGCCATCTCTGCGTCCCTGGCTATCTGCCACTGAGAAGAGTACGGACCCATGATTGCCTCTGCGTAAGTGCGCGGGGTCGGGATGTCAAGTGCATCCGGGTTTCCCTCAGGGTAAAGTAGCGTGGATGCGAGATGAGGTGCAGCGGCCGCTAGGCACTCCAGTTCAAACTGCTTGTCCTCAAGAACGTCACAGCCAAGGGCAAGCTCAACCCCGACGGACGGAGGTCAGGAAGACTAAAAAACAAGACTCGCAGCGTAGTCAAGGCAGCAGAAAGCAGCAAAGTCAACAAGCTCAGCAGCTAAGGCAGACGCAGCAGAAGATTCAAAGGAAGGTCAGTCACAACTGTGGCAAGGAGATGAGTGATAGTCGGACTGGCAGTACGAACAAGGTCTGACTCAGGGTCAGGAACGTGAGGAAGAGAAGACGCAGGAGGAGACGGCAGGACAACATGCTGTGGAACAGAGGAAGGACGAAGTGCCATACAGTGAGTGCCTGGCACAGCTGTAGCACGAGGACGGACATCACGACGACCGCGAACAGGTGTGGAAGCACGAGTCTCAGGCCCACAACGCACAGAGCAAAACTCAGTCACCTCCGTGTGGGGAGCAAGAGCAGGCAGTGGGGAGCCAGGCAGCAGCTGTGGCTGAGACTGGTCAGTCGGTGGGAACAGCAACGGAGGAGTAGTACCAGCAACCGGGAACTCAGTAGCAGCAGGCGGGAGACTGAGGAGGTGACAAAGCGTAGACTGCTGCAGCTGAGTAGTCACACCCCCAGAACCTCGAGCCCTAGTAGGAACAGCACCCCCAGAACCAACACCACCAGCTCCACCACCGGGACTGCCCCAACGGACAGCCTACGCGCGAAGCTGCTACGGCGAGAGCGACTCCTGCCGACTAGCACCACCAACTTCAGTACCTCCAGTAGCATCTCCAGTGTCAGCACCGCTAGTACCCCCAACTCGTGAAACAAGAGCACTAGCACCTATAGGGCCAGCACCTCCAGTACCTCCAGTAGCACCCGTGCCTCCAGTACCAGTACCTCCAGCACGGCCAACTCCAGGTGTCAAACTTATTTATAGCTTAGATTGTGTAGGCTGTAGTGGGGTAGCCCATAAGGGGTGCAACCCAATTAGGGTTCGTACTTGTACCCAACTGTTTCATAGTTCATCCATCCTCGTTCGTTACTTTGACATGGTTTTAGAGCAGGTCCCTTCTAGGACCGTTTTTTTGGGCCCACCACCTGCTGCCCTGCTAGCCACCCTCGCGACCCGTAGGCCCCCTAGGCCCCGACCCGTCGCCTCTAGCCCGGCCCCTTGGCCCCGTCGCCCCTAGCCACGGCCCCTTGGCCTCGTCGCCCCTAGCCGCGGCCCCTTGGCCCCGTCGCCCCGTCGCCCTAGCCACGGCCCCTAGCGACCCGTCGCCCCTAGCCGCGGCCCCTTGGCCCCGTCGCCCCGTCGCCCTAGCCACGGCCCCTAGCAACCCATCGCCCCGTCGCCCTGTCGCCCCTAGCCGCGGCCCCTAGCGACCCGTCGTTCCGTCGCCCAACCCTTGGCCCCATGGCCCCGTCGCCCCTAGCCGCGGCCCCTTGGCCCCGTTGCCCCTAGCCATGGCCCCCTCGGCCCCTAGGCCCCCCCCCTTCGTGTTTGGCCCCTCGGCCCCGCCCCTCGGCCCCTCGGCCCCTAGGCCCCAGGCCCCTAGGCCCCTTGGCCCCTCGGCCCCTAGCCCCCCCCCCCTTCGTGTTTGGCCCCTCGGCTCCTAGCCCCCCCCCCCCCCTTCGTGTTAGGCCCCAAGCCCCTAGGCCCCTCGGCCCCGCCCCTCGGCACCTCGGCCCCTTGGCCCCTCTACTACTACTGCTGCTGCTACAGCTGCTACTGCTGCTGCTGCTGCTACTGCTGCTACTGCTACTGCTGCTACTACTCCTGCTGCTGCTACTGCTGCTACTGCTACTACTGCCACTGCTGCTGCTACTGCTACTACTGCTGCTCCTGCGTGCTGCACAGCTATGGCTTCGCTTAGGGTTCTCGCGTTCGATCATGAGGGCAGACCTGTTCAGTTTGACACGTGGCTTGACGACCAGCAGCTGTACCTACTGAGTGACTCTAAGGACATTGTGTCGCTGTTTGACCTTGCGTCAGGTGCCTCTCCTGCCCCTCCCGCCACAGCTGACAGTGCGACTCGCTCACAGTGGCTTACTCGCGACGCTGCTGCCCGCTTGGCCATTCGCAACCACCTGCCGTTAGCCGAATGCGCCCACTTTGGACAGCACTGGACAGCCCAGGCACTGTACGCTGCTGTAGTCGCCCGCTACTCCTCACCTGCCACTGCTGCTCTAGGCCGCCTGCTTCTGCCCTACCTGTTCCCTGAGCTGTCAGCCTTTGCCACAGTAGAGGACCTGGTTTCCCACCTGCGCACTAGCGAGGCTTGCTACCGCGCTACCGTCCATGCTGAGTTCCTTGACAGGAACCAGCCCCCGATGTTCATCACCCTCTACTTCATAGTCACTTGCCTCCATGACTCTCTTCGCTCTGTCAGGGACCACTTTCTCTCCCTTGACCCCACCTCCCTCACTGTTGACCTCCTCGAGCAGCATCTCCTTGTAGCTGAGACAAGTGCAGTTGCTGTAGGTGCTGCTCGTGGCACTCCGCACCCGCCCTTCTTTGAGGGGTGCTCCCCCTCCCCCCTTGCCCCCTCTTACGCCTCTGCCGCTGCTGCAGACGTTCTTGGTGCTGAGGATGTCGGAGCTGCTTCTGCTAGTGCGAAGCGCTGCAGCGGCAAGGGAAAGGGTAGCAACCGTGGTGGAGGGGGCAGTGGGAGTGGTGGTGGGGGCAGCAGTGGAGGTGGTGGAGGCAGTGGAGGTGGTGGCAGCGGTGGGAGTGGTGGCGGGGGTGGGGGTGTTGGTGGCGGCAGTGGAGGCAGCAATGGGAGTGGCGGCAGTGGCGGCGGTGGGACTGGTGGCGTTGGGAATAGCGCTCAGCGTGGAGGTTTTGGAGGTGGTCAGCATCAGCAGCAGCAGCGTCGGAGCAAGACCCAGTCGCCCCAGCGGCTTCGTGAGTGGTTTTTGCAGCGTGGGGCGTCTGGGGGTAGTGGCTGCTGCCCGTATGTCATTCGCACGGGTGATCGTGCTGGTCAGACATGCCGGAAGCTTCACACTCAGCACCGCTGCTTCTCCCACCTCGACGACGCTTGGCGTGCTGAGTTTGGTGACGACGTCGAGCTCCCTCGCTGGGCTGATCTCCTTAGGTCTAGGATTGCTAT